CACCATTAAATAGAAAGAACCACAGACAATCACTGCCTGCATGCTGAGGTTTACCCGGTGAGCTGCATCCGGCCAATGCCGTCTGGTGGGAATTAAACAAACCCCATTGCATTAAAATAATTTTTATTTTTTTTTTCAATCAATATATTGCCCTTGCAATCACCCTTTTCTTTGCATTCTTAAAACGCTGAGATTTTTCAGTCTCTACTGCTGTTTATGGGGTCTGTGCAGTGCATCTGTGAGCAGCACATTGTTATCACCACACTGATGTATTTTCCCCATTTTTCAGGCAATGCCCTGTACCTGCACAATCTTTTCCAGGAATTCCCCCCAGTTCAGCCCAGTGCTCACCCACATATCCCGGAGTCCCACAGGCCGTGGACATGATCCCRTTCTGCTCCATCTTCGACAAGCCAAAATCYGTGATCATGATTTTGGAGTTCTCCTCGGGGGTCAGGTAAAGGAGATTCTCGGGCTGTGAACACGGGGGGGGATGGTCAGAGGGTGAAATTTGTGGTGGGGAAATGGCAGCAAAGAGCAGAAGGTGGTGGGGTAGAATAGGGCCAGCTCCCCCTGGCCATGGGGACGGGGACAGGGCTCACCTTCAGGTCCCGGTGCACAATCCCATTCTCATGAAGGTATTTCACAGCTGTCAGGACCTGGTGGATCACCAGGCTGGCGTCCTTCTCCGTGTAAACGCCCCGTTCCAAGATCCTGTCAAACAGCTCTCCCCCAGACACCCTGCAGAACGTGCAGCTTAGGCAGGAGAGGACTGAGAAAACCCTAAATAAAGCTAATTGTGCTTTTGTGTCAGGGCAGCAGCACCTTTTGGAATGCTGAGGCTGAGAGGGGATGCTCCTGGGTGCAGTTTCAGGCTCCACTGGGGGTTACTGGGCAACCTGGGCAATTGGGGTGAGCTTGTGAGGCCAGTGCTGGCAGGACTGAGCTGCAGGGATCCAGCCCTGCTGAGTGGATTTAGGGTTTTTTTCTAAATCTGCACTTCAGCAGCAGCAGCAGCCGGGTGCTCAGAGCACTTTCTCTGCTGCTGACACGGTGCCCATTCCATTTCTAGAAACCCTGCGTGGCACAGCTTTAATTAGAAATACTTCAGTCTGTGCCCTGCTAAACTGTGAGCAGCTCATTTGCATGAAGAGATCGAACCATGGTTTGSAAAGTTGGTGTTATTTTTGAGGATGGGTCCAGGTTTTTCCAGGGACTCTGTGGGTGCTGAAATCCCACCCATCACCCTGCTCCATCCCCTGGGCCCCACACACACAGCTCTGCTGTACTCACAGCTGCATCACCAGGTAAAAATGCGTTGTGCTCTCATAAATATCTTCCAAAGTCACGATGTTTTCGTGCTTTATTCTGCAAAGGGAAACGTGGCTCAGAAACAAAACCCAGCAAGGACAGAAGMGGCTGCTGAGGTGGAAAATTTGATTTTAAGCAGCAGGGAAAGCTCCCTGGGTGTTGTGGGGCTGTTCTCCCTGCCCTGCATGGCACAGGATCACTGATGCCCATCCAAGGCGGGCACCAGACCCTTTATTTAACATTCCCTTTGCAGGGGTGTTCCTTGCACTCACTTTTTCAGCACTGCTATTTCGTTCTCCAGGCTGCTGTCCCTGCTCAGAGGAGATTTCTTGATGCATTTCAGAGCAAAGAGTTTGCCGGTGCTTTTCTGCTTCACCAGGAAGACTTCGGAGAAGGCGCCTCTGCAGGGAGGGCAGAGGGTGAATCTCAGAGCTGGGAGGGATTTACAGAGAGGGGAAATAACGAGGGAAAAACGTGGTGGTGGCTCTGATTCCAAAGCTGGGACTGTACCCCCCAGCAGAGGATATTCAAGGGCAGGGTGTGCAATAAAAACAAAACCCCACAGATTTCTCTGTTCCTGGTGCACAGTCCSTCAGGAGCTGCGTTTGGGTCGGGATCACCCAACATTCTGCTCCTCTGAAATGCAAAACAGCAGAACCTCAGTTCGTGTTTAAATCAGCCCCTGATTGTTCTCCTTTGTGCTGCTGCTGTGTCCCCTCAGTGACAGTGACAGTGACAGTGACAGTCCCGGGCAGGGCTCACCCCAGCAGCCAGGAGCAGGTATTTATAGGATTTATGGGATTTCTAGTATTTATAACCCCAATCCTGTTAAAGGTTTGTCGTGGGGAGCTGAGCACGTGGCTCGGGCAGTGACAGTGCACGCTGTGCCAGGTCAGTCCTCYCTGATCCTCAAAACAGACACAGATTCAGTGCTCTGAATCTGCAAAGCCCCACTATCCCACTATGATAATGAATTTTGGGTCCCAGATCTTCATTTCAGTCCTTCAGGGGGTGAAGAAATGCATGCGAAGAAAAAAAATCCCAAATTCTAATGCTAATTTTTTCCTATTGAAGCAATAGTAGGAAATGAACAACCTACAAATCAGCTGCTGGGGCATCTGTTCTMCATCTCTGTCCCAAACAGTTTATAATAATTATGGCCCTTATTAAAAATGATGAATCAACAAGTGGGCTAGGAGAGAACAAAGCCTTTCCTAACCTCATTCCTTAGGTGAAAGGTGCTGGTAATTTAATTAATCTCTGAGGCTGAAAAGGCACAGAATTTGGAGTAACTGCTTCTTTGAATCTTTGTCGTGGGCTCGGAAGTCCCAGAAAATGTCAGAACTTGCTGGTGGAGGTAATTCAATTCCTCCCCCACCWCCTTGGGAATGTTTTGTTGTCTCASCCCCATGAATAGGCAAATTAAGCCGTTGAGGCACAGGGAAGGATTGTACAACTCCAACATCCTTGTTTTTGTTTCATTCCCCCACTGAGTCAGGGCTCCTGWGCTAAATTTACCGATTGTTATTGTGATTGCTGTGCCTGCGCCATCCCCGACCTTGCAGCAGTGAGAAAAAAACACTTTATCCAGAATTTCTGAGGGTTATGGGATGGAGGGAAGGGCAGAGGGATTTGGGGCTGTGCTGGGGTGGGTTTGATGCTGTTTGGGAAAATCAGAACAGCAGCAGCAGCATCCCTGGGTGCTCCCTCCCATTTTTGGGGAGCTGTTCCTTTATTCCCCACATTCCCATGGGATCCTGACCAGGACCAGGAGGGGTCTGGGGGTGCTCCTACCCCAGGACAGATGGGGTACTCACGATCCCAGCGCCTCCATGAAGATAAAAGTTTTACGGATGTTGCTGGTCTGCTTCTTCCAGGAGCTGCTGTCGTCCTCTTCCTTGYGCCCCATCTCCTCCAGAGTGGAACTGGGGAATGCTGTCAGAGGAGGAGAGGTGACTGAGGAGAGGTGGCTCCTGTTTGTGGGAAGCCCAGGACACCCCAGGAAGAACGAGGATTAGAGCTGGACGAGGTCTGGGAGGTGGGAAATGTTCCACAAACCCCCTCAGAACGTGARATGAGATCAGGGCTGAGGAGTGCAGGAGTCTTGGAAGGGGAGAAAGGAACCTGGGAATGAGGGGAAAATTGATAAAATAGTGACCCTGGGCAGCAGGGGCAGGGGGAGCATCCCTGGGAGTGGGGAATGTTCCTGGGAGTGGGGAATGTTCCTGGGAATGGGGAATGTTCCTGGGAATGGGGAACATCCCTGGGAATGGGGAACATCCCTGGGAATGGGGGAATCTCCATGGGAATGGGGAACATCCCTGGGAATGGGGAATGTTCCTGGGTATGGGGAGCATCCATGGGAATGGGGAAATCTCCATGGGAATGGGGAATGTTCCTGGGAGTGAGGAACATCCCTGGTTAATGAGGAACATCCCTGGGAGTGAGGAATGTTCCTGGGAATGGGGAAAATCCCTGGAAATGGGGAATGTTCCTGGGAGTGGGGAATGTTCTTGGGAATGGGGAAAATCCCTGGGAATGGCGAATGTTCTTGGGAATGGGGAACATCCCTGGGAATGGGGAACATCCCTGGGAATGGGGAATGTTCCTGGGAGTGGGGAATGTTCTTGGGAATGGGGAAAATCCCAGGGAATGGGGAACATCCCAGGGAATGGGAAAAATCCCTAGGAATGGGAAACATCCCTGGGAATGGGGAATGTTCCTGGGAATAGGGAATGTTCCTGGGAATGGGGAAAATCCCTGGGAATGGGGAATGTCCCTGGGAATGGGGAATGTTCCTGGGAATGGGGAACATCCCTGGGAATGGGGAACATCCCTGGGAATGGGGAACATCCCTGGGAATGGGGAACATCCCTGGGAATGGGGAATGTTCCTGGGAATGGGGAATGTTCTTGGGAATGGGGAATGTTCTTGGGAATGGGGAACGTTCCTGGGAATAGGAAACATTCCTGGGAATGGGGAACATCCCTGGGAATGGGGAACATCCCTGGGAATGGGGAGCATCCCTGGGAATGGGGAATGTTCCTGGGAATAGGGAACGTTCCTGGGAATGGGGAGCATCCCTGGTTAATGAGGAACATCCCTGGGAATGGGGAAAATCCCTGGGAATGGGGAAAATCCCTGGGAATGGGGAATGTTCCTGGGAATGGGGAACATCCATGGGAATGGGGAAAATCCCTGGGAATGGGGAAAATCTCCCTTCCCAGAGCAGGAACAGCTGCCCAAAGGCTCTGGGACACAGCTGAGCCTTCAGAGGACAAAGCAAAGCTTTCCTGGATATTATTTATCCATTTGGAAAAGGCAGAGGTACCAAAGCAGAGARAAAGCTGAAAGGTCTTTTTTCATGAGAGACAGCTTGGATATTGGATTCCYCCCGAACCTACTTTATCTCCTTAATTAGCACGTTTGCAGCGTTTTCAGCTCCTTGACACAATTTTTAAAGGTTAATTTAACATTATTGAAACCAAAATTGACTCGGTTGTAAACAGTTGAAGGCCTCAGTCCATCAAATCATCAAAGGCCTCATGAACCTGCCCTTTATTTACCTCCTGTGTAACTCAGAGAAATCAGCTCCTCACAGAACCCACTGTTTAAAATCAGTGAAGGTCAAAAGTCCCACAAAAATGCTGATCATTCACTAGAAACCTTTCTGCCAATTATCCTGAGCCCCTCAATGATAATTTCTTTGCAGTTATCTGCCCATCCCAAACCTACAGATCTGGGATGTCACAAAAAAAAGGGAATTTTCCTGGCAGGGACACTCAGCTGGTGTGGCAGGTGAGTTTTTTCCACTGTCAGTGGTGTCAGAGCTGTGCTGGGAGCTGAGGGACAGGGAGCACTGAGAGCAGCTCTGCATCCCTCTCCCAGCTGCTGATAAAAACCAGATAGGAGGTGAAAAAAAGATAAAATCCAACTAGGTCAGCCCGGCCCTGGGGACAAGTGGCATTTTGGGCTCCTGTGCTGCGGTACATCCTGGTTGGGATCAGTTCCATGGGGACCTGAGGGACAGAGGGACAGAGGGNTCCATGGGGACCTGAGGGACAGAGGGACAGAGGGACGGAGAGCAGGGACAGAGAGACAGAGGGACAGAGGGGCAGGGGGACAGGGGGATAGAGGGACAGAGGGCAGGGACAGAGGGCAGGGACAGAGGGACAGAGTGAAAAAGGGACAGAGGGACAGAGGGCAGGGACAGAGGGACAGAGGGCAGGGACAGAGGGACAGAGTGAAAAAGGGACAGAGGGACAGAGGGCAGGGACAGAGGGACACAGGGACAGAGGGACACAGGGACAGAGGGACACAGGGACAGAGAGCAGGGACAGAGGGATAGAGGGACAGAGGGACAGTGGACAGAGGGACAGAGGGACAATGGACAGAGGGACAGAGGGACAGAGAGCAGGGACAGAGGGACAGAGGGACAGAGGGACAGAGGGACAGAGAGGAGGGACTGAGGGACAGAGTGAAAAAGGGACAGGGACAGAGGGACAGAGGGACAGAGGGACAGAGTGAAAAAGGGACAGGGACAGAGGGACAGAGGGACAGAGAGGCAGAGAGCAGGGACAGAGGGACAGAGACAGAGGGACAGAGGGACAGAGGGACAGAGAGCAGGGACAGAGGGACAAAGACAGAGGGACAGAGGGACAGAGTGAAAAAGGGACAGAGGGACAGAGTGAAAAAGGGACAGGGACAGAGGGACAGAGTGAAAAAGGGACAGAGGGACAGAGGGACAGAGGGCAGGGACAGAGGGACAGAGTGAAAAAGGGACAGAGGGACAGAGGGACAGAGGGCAGGGACAGAGGGACAGAGGGACAGAGGGACAGAGGGCAGGGACAGAGGGACAGAGGGACAGAGACAGAGGGACAGGGACAGAGGGACAGGGACAGAGGGACAGGGACAGAGGGCAGGAAAACCCTCCTGGGCTGGGCAGAGTGACCGTCCCCACCATGGAGAGTGACCATGCACTGATGGACCCTCACTTCTGGGTGTTCAATGGGAATTTGGCCCTTCCAAACCCCAGGATCAAATTTTCCCAATCCTGGCTCATTCCAGCTCCATTCCTGGAGTATTGTGATGTTTAAATCCTGGTGAATTCAACATTTCCTCATTTTGCAGCGGGTTTTGCTCCCTGAGGAAGGTGGTTTGATGTTTTCTGCCATCTCCTGTGAATCATCTGCTCCTCTCCTGCTGTCACTCTGCAGTTGGTGCTGGGGACAGCCTGAGGAGCAGCTCTCACTCCCTACACGTGCATTCCATCTCCTGCTCTCTCAGTTTCTCTGTGCCATCACCAGCAAGTCATTTCCTGCCTCCCCTCGCCTCTCTGCGAGGAAGGGGAGTAAATGCTGCTATTCTGAGAGCAAAATAATGGAATGTTTGAGTTTCTGAATGGAARGCTGCATATGGCAGGGGGTGGARGGGATGATCTTTAGGGTCCCTTCCAACCCMAACCATCCTGTGATTCCATATGTGCCCAGGTGATGAGCACCTGCCCACTTTCCCATCCTCCTCCGTGGTTTTTCCTCTTTTTCTTGCAAAGGGAAGTGTTTGCCAGGGGTTGGTGCAGGACACAGCAGCCTCGGTCCAGCCACTATTACAGAACTTGGGAGTGAATTCCCTGATTCTCTGGGTCACCTGTTGCACTTCACAGCAGCTGCTGCCAGTGCAAGGTTTGATGGTTTTGTTGTCTGTCCTTTTGTTATTAATTCAGGCTCTGGTGCAACAATCGCAGAATCCCAGAATGGTTTGGGTGGGGCCTCAAAGCCCCCTAAAAACCCCCTTAAAGCCCCCTGAAAGCCCCCTGAAAACCCCCTGAAAGCCATCCATCCATCCTCAAAGCCATCCATCCATCCCCAAAGCCATCCATCCATCCCCAAAGCCATCCATCCATCCTCAAAGCCATCCATCCATCCCCGAAGCCATGGGCAGGGACAGCTCCCACTGTCCCAGGCTGCTCCAAACCCCAATGTCCAGCCTGGTTTGGGGCATTTCCAGGGATTCAGGGGCAGCCACAGCTTCTCTGTGCCCTCTGCAGTCCCTCCTTTTCCACTCCTGGGTTTATGGATGGGAGAAGCTCCCCACAGGGGTAAAACCACAGCAGACATTGGGCAAAACAGATTTGTGCTGGCACTGGCAGCTTTTCCTGCCCTGGGCCGTGTCCCCTTTGTGCCTCCATCCCCTGCCAGCTCCATCCTCACCCCTGGATGCTGTGGGCACATCCCAGCCTGGCACTGGGGTGCACTCTTGAATTCCCATATTTTAGACCCAAACCAAGGGCTGTGCTGCCCTTCTGCCCCTTCACCCCCTGGCAGTGCCAGCACACCTTTGTGCTCAGGTTGCATAATGAGATTGAAAAGCTCATTAGTTAATGAAGGTGAGGACCTTTGGGGCTGGGAATGAAGTGCATTAACGTGGCTTTAATTTGCTGAGCTTCCCTCTTCCCATCATAACAAATCCAGCAATATGCACAGCTTCAATCGAGTTTATATTAGAGATATAAAATAATAATCAATTTTGGGATTAATGTCTGATCTTTGGGGTCTCCTACAGCCTGCTCTGCTCTGTCTGCTCCCAGAGTGCAAGGGATGCTTTCATGACCTTGCTTCAATATTTCCCGAGGAAATTTGTTCTGCTTCCATATCCCACAGCAACAAATGCATCTGCAGCCAGCCCCTGCTCCTGAAYGGATGCACTGCATTAGCAGAATGATTGTAAGTCATGATTAATGCTCTCGTGACAAACTTCCATGTGCAGGGGGAGCAGACATGGGGTGCCTTTGGAATTAGAAGTTTATAGGGAAAAAAAAAAAGAGGATAGAAATTCAAAGGGCTTTGATTTTTTTCAAAAAGCACAGCAAAGCAAGCGAATCTGCATGTGAATGAATGGATGAATGAAGTGACAGGGACAAAAGAACAAGAAATCGAAACCACGAGCTCGCCATTAAAAACAAACCCACGTCAAAGCTCTCGCATTCCCCCCCAATGCCATTCATTCCAAAACAACTTGGGGAACACTTGCAAAAAAAAAAAAAAAAATTCCATTTCACTGTAAATATCCCAGATTCCAT